ACCCACGGGAGACGAGTTTCTGAGAAGCCTGCCTTGTACCCAAAAAACTCATTGGATGCTGGTGAACTATGCTGGTGCGCTATGGATCCGTGTCGTGGTTTAACCCCGGCTGGCAACTGATCCTCACCCAGCCGCTCGCACACTCCCCCTGCAGTGGGGTGGAGGAGAGAACCAGAAGAGTAAAAGTGAGAAAACTCGTGGGCTGAGATAAAGACAGTTTAATAGGGAAAGCAAAAGCTGCACACACAAGCAAAGCAAAGCAAGGAATTCATTCCCTGCTTCCCATCGGCAGGCAGGGGTTCAGCCATCTCCAGGACAGCAGGGCTCCATCACGCCCAATGGTGACTTGGGAAGACAAACGCCATCACTCAAATGTCCCCCTTCCTTCTTCTTCCCCCAGCTTTATGAGCTGAGCATGATGTCATATGGTCTGGAATAGCCCTGTGGCCAGTTGGGGTCAGCTGTCCTGGCTGTGCCCCCTCCCAGCTCCTTGTGCACCTGGCAGAGCAGGGGAAGCTGGAAAGTCCTTGACTGGTGTAAGCACTGCCCAGCAACACCTAAACCATCAGGGTGTTATCGACATTCTTCTCACACTAAACCCAAACCACAGCACTATGCCAGCTGCCAGGAAGAAAATCAACTCCATCCCAGCCAAAACCAGGACAGCATCTGAAAGCAGAAAGATCTAGGAATAGCTGATATAGGCAAGGGATAACAATATGACAGAAACAGTTTTGGGGTAGTGGTGAGTATAAGACCTAAATCCAAACCACAGCGCTATGCCTGCTACTAGTAAGAAAATTAACTCTATCCCAGCTGAAACCAGGAAAATCCGTCAGGTAGACTCTGTTGCAAGTCTGTGCTGCCAATTCATATGCATTCTTCTGCTTTGAAAATACGACAATAATTTGGCACGGGCAAAGCCTGTGTCTCCATGCAGCTTTTGCCCAGACTTATGCCACTTGGACTTCTCAGAGTCCCCTGTGCCACTGGTCAGCGTTGCCTCTTGCTCTCCTCACATTTCACTGGGGAGGCAGCACTGTCCAGACTTCATGTTTGCAATGAGTGGGATCCAGACCCAGGGGGCACAAGCAAAAGAAAATCTGGTGGTGTCTGAGAGAGATTTTAAGCACTAGGAAGCTCAGGAACTGACAGATATGGCCGTTACTTGCAGACAATAAATGGCTGGGCCTGTCAAATTGTGGCTGTGGAGCACCACGATGCAGCGGGTCGTGCAGTGAGGACTGTTCCACGCCACAGCTCGGAAACTAAAGGCGCATCAGAAAAGCATGCCCTTCTTCCCTGTCTGCAAAGAACAGAGCATCTTTGGTAACAGTAATTAGAACTGGCAGACATTTTTCAAGGCTTTTGGTCTGTAAATAACTTTCCCTCACGTTCACACACTTTGCCAGAGGAAGAGGCTGGGTCTGATGGCACTGTTTGGCCCTGATGGTGCCTGGGAGGGAGGAGGTCCACATCGGTGGAGGAAATCCACACTCAAGTTCCTGCT